TACTCACATAAAATTAATATATATAATTATTAAAACTTTATCTTTATAAAAAAAAATAAACTTTAAATTAATAGAATATTTAAAATAAATTTCAATCCTTCAAATAAAAAAAGAGAAAGTGAGCCAAAAATACATTTAGCTTTCATCTCTCTGAAAAAATATTTCATTTGAACTTTCGCACGACCAATCACTTACGATCATATCGCCCGCCACTGACGTGTAATGCAACGTAACAAAGAATGAATATTTTCTCCTCGCCTTCAGGTCATAAGTCCTCTCCCTGTCGCCTCCGCACGTGGTCCGGATAAGACCGACGTTCGGCCGTAGATCGCACAAAATAAATTTCTCCTGCGATTGAGGTACGCCAAAAGGCTGCAGCTGCGAGCCCTTATGGTCCCCTATGAGACGGACTAATGCTTTACGGAAAAATCTAAGCCTTTCGAATTGATGGGCCGCTAAGGAGACAGAAAAAGACTGAACCGAGAGTAATTAAAACTAAAATGTAATTAGAAGAAAAACCTATCAGAACATCCTTTGCAAGGGTAGTTCAGCACTTCGTGTAGCAATTAACATTCATATCACCCAATTTTTAAAATATATATTTTCATGCATAAATCTACAACGCCAAAAAGTTATGTATGTAAATATGAGAGTAAGTGTGAGATATGTAAATACAAAAGAATTGTGTGCTAGGTATGTATAAGAATTGTGTAGAATTGTGTGCTAGGTATGTAATTTTCCCTTATAGTAAATATTCTCCACATTGCCTATCATTTATAGATAAATAAGAGATGTTCAAATAAGGTCCAACATCAAATAACATCAAAACGACTTCACCAAAATAAATGCTTACATAACCCCGTCTCTAAAAGATCAAGCTCTGCATAGTTTTCAAAATACCCAAATGTCAATCAATCACGAGCTCAGATATTTCATCAAACTCCTACAGTATGCGCAACATCAAAAAGACTTCACCAAAATAAATGCTTACATAGTTTTCAAAATACCCAAATGTCAATCAATCATGAGCTCAGATATTTCATCAAACTCCTACAGTATGCGAACTACAGAACAGATAGTACAACATTTGTGAGCATGCCTGTTGATTTCTCCTTCATATCTAGCTTTTTTAATAAAACATTACCGTCGTCAATCAAACCCATAATAAAGGGGCACCTCATATAAATGAGTTGGGTACGAGCATGATGAACTAGATTCGAGATCAATAATATCGCACTCTGACAATCACAGAATGACGTCAAAGACTCTTGATCAACTCTCAGCTCATCCAGTAGGCCGGCATTGCTTCCTTCAACGTCTTCATGACTGTCAAGTACTCGGTTTTCATAGAAGACAAAGCAATAACAAATTGAAGAATTGATCTCCAAATGATTGGACCTCCTACCAATGCAAATAAATAGTCAGTCGTATCCATACACCTATCCATATGACCTGCATATAGTAATTGCGGTCCCCCGTTCCTATTTAGTCCATTTCCTTTCCTGATGCTTTCCTATTATAATTCATTTCCTTCTCAACTTCTTTTTTATTCTTTTATCTCTTTCCTATCCTACTCTTTACCAAATTTATCTATTAATCCCCTCCTTATATAGGTGTTATTTTCTGAGGTTAAGGAGAGATTTTATGATTACTGATTTTTTAGTGTTACCTTAGAGGGGTTCTTCCCCTCTTGGGGGATGTATCCGACGGAGAGTAGATGCTCCGGCTGTAATTCATCCAAGGACGTGACTGTCTCTAAGGGTCTG